ATTAAACGTTTCTGAAGATACGTTCCGGAAATACGCTTGTACACTCGTCCATGATTCTGACCCCAACTGCGAATCCCTGTCGACGTGTAAAATCCAAGGTTAGGAATTCGAATGGTACTGTAAATCGTTGCAGGTCGTAGAGGGAGGGGTCAGAAGAGGCGCTGGACCGGCGGGAGTCCCATTTGGGATGTCGGAGTTATCGGCTTTGAATTTCGCCACTCATGCTCTCTCCCATACGACGTTTTCTCACTGGCTTCATCTCGACTGAGAAATTGAAGGCCGTCCAACCACAGGTTCTCCTGCACCCTGCTAAAGAAGGTGACATCCTCCGCCAACGATATCCTCTTATCCGCAGGCTCGGAGAACGCTTTGGAAGACGCTCAACAATTTGGCTTTCTAAAGACTCGGAGTACGCTTCTTTTGTACGATACGACGTGTCTAGCTCATGTCTCTCTTAGAACTGGAAATGACGTAGTAATAAAAATTACTGGTGCAGACTCGACGGATGCGGGCAGGTATTCGCAGCTCGAGGCGCTCTTCCTCGAAAAAGTTCGCCACAAGAACGCTACCATTGAGCAATCACATGTTATCCGCATGCTTGAACATTTTCCAATCTCCAGCATCCACGGAACTCATGGAAGTTTAGTTCTCGAACGTCTTGGTCCATCTGTCGCACAAGTAATGAATTGGGCTCACCCGAACAAGCTTCCCATACGAATGTGCAGGCAGATTATTAAACAAGTATTAGTTGGTTTAGACTTCCTTCATCGTGAATGTGGAATAGTCCATACAGGTAAGTACACTGTCCACTATGAAAATCAATTGCTGATCGTGGACAGATTTGAAACCAGACAATCTTCTCCTGCGTCTGGCAGAGACGCAAGGGATACCCGACCCGGGAAATGTTGAATATTCGACGGAAATTGATTTTTCTCGAGTATCTTTGGGTTCAGCAGCTGTTGTCATAACCGACCTCGGTGTAGGTACGCATCTTACCGATTTCATACTGTCTCTGCTTTCTTCACTCATAGTTAGCTAGTAACATAGAAGAGCCGTTCAATGGAGTCATACAGCCGTATGCTCTACGTGCACCTGAGGTTTATCTTGGAATCCCCTATGGCCCACCCGCTGATATATGGAGCTTGGGTTGTTTGGTACGGCACAAAGACCAAGTGAGACACATTAATTCACGGTATACGACAGGCGTTCGAACTCGTCACATACTGCTGGCTCTTCAACCCGATGGAAACATCTAAATGGTCACGAGATGACGACATACTCGGACAAATGGTCTCCCTGAACGGTCTTGAGCTTTTCCCAGTCGACGTTTTGGCCCGTGGCAAATACAGTGACAGGTTCTTCGATAAAACTGGTATGCGCTGCCCGCCCGTTTTGACCATATTTTTTGCTTTTATGATTGAACCATGTAGGAAAGCTTCGTGGATACAATGTTGGCGCTTGTTCCATCCGTGGCTTGTTGGATTCTCGATGTTCGCTGCAGCCTGAGGACGAGCCTGATGCCTTTGCCGACCTTCTTTCTCGCATGCTGCGGCTTCGCCCTGAAGATCGGGAATCGGCCTCGGAACTACTTATCCATCCCTGGCTACGAGCCACTTGATGGATCTTCAGTGTTGCCATTCTCGAAGATGATACGTTCTTGTCCTTTGGTTTATCTAATATCTTGCCTTAATGTCCCGGATGATATATGTACACTTTTCACTATATATGGCTATCGCGCTTTGAAGATGTAGCAACGTTTCGTTTTGAAAAGTTCTACCTCCCTCATTCTAGAGCGAGACTAGCATTGACTGGAAGTCAGCTCCTGATTGATTCTTTGAATCAAAACGATTCAATTGATATGACTGCGGAGCTCGCAACAGGTGCATCGGTGTTGTGCGCGAGCCTTCAGCCTGTTTGCACGCTCAGGTGCTTGTCAAGGGGGGGTGGAACGAAACAAAAATAGTTCACAGTTTTCACGAAAACTGCGCGCTTGGATTGACAGCTTGGAAGGCTCGCCAAGATAGTCCTTTCTATCAGTCGCGCTCCCGTCTTTCGTAACATTGCATTATATGAGCCGCGCTGTCTGTACTTATCCTTGGAATTCAAAGTTCGGGGAGGTATTCTTTCAAGCTATCAAAATGTTTTCCGACGATTCGGAATCGAATAACTAAAAGACCGAGGTCGGGCACACCTCATAAAGGGTAGAGTCTTATTTCATTAGCCTACTTGGCGGGCTTGATAGCTTCCGCCTTGGGCCACACAGACACCGGCGCAAAGGAATTGATCATAGAGGATGACCCCGCACCACCACCCTACAGAGGTAAGTATCAGAACACCAACCCACTCAAGAAATAACTAACTACTCACAATTAACCAGTTCGGGAATCCAGGATCAAACGGCAGAGCGCTCTCGAGATAATCAATTTGTTCCTTCGACAATGTAATCGTGAGTGCTTCGATGTTTCTCTTCAAATGCTCGATTTTGCGACCACCCAGGATTGGGAAGACGTAGGGAGTCTTTTGTAGGTGGTATGCGATGGCAACTGTGGCGTTCTTCAGATCCATTCGTTCAGGGATGGATGAGGACCGAGCGAACCTGCTTGGATGCTCTTCGCGCCAACTTCATTGGCGACTTTCTCAAGGGCAGCAGAAACTTTGATTTCGGCCTCATTTCGCTCTGATTTACCGTCCTGCGTAAATCCTGTTCGCTCGTTTACAAGGTTTTCTTTTCGTGCTTGATCTTCCGCGTCCGTACGGAGTCTGCCTGCTCCAAGAACACCCCAAGGGGCGAGAGCGAGACCTGGAAACCGTAGTCAGTCCTAATACTATACAAGCAGATAACAGACGTGCGAACCTAGGTCGCGAGCCATGGGGATGATCTCACGTTCAAACGATCGCTCCGTCAAATTCCATTGACCTTGGTAGATGCAGAACGGAGTCCTTCCATGGTCAATAGCATACTGATTGGCTTTTGCGACAACCCATGCAGGAGTATCCTACATAAGTTGGTTTGAACTGACCGCCCGGGTCTTCAATTTCAAAGGCTTACCGAGATACCCTATGATAGGTACGTGATGAGCGTTTCGAATGTTACTTGTGCTGGAAGGAAATCGAAACTCACAAGATGTAATACCTTGCCAGATACAACGAGATTGTGCAAGTTGGTCATCAGCTCTTCGACGCTGGTCTCCCAGTCATAGAAATGAACATAGAGGATATCGATGTAGTCGGTACGTAGGCGTTTTAGCGAAGCGTTAATTGCTAGGTGTCGGGCTTTGCTCCCATTTCCAAGGTAATGGACTTTTTGGGATACACTATTGTCGTGAAGTTTCCAAGGACCGCTGTACTAGAATTATTAAATTGAAATTGATGTTTTTCTAGTAATGTTAAGAGGCACACCTTGGTAGCAATCACCATTTGGTCCCGGTTACCTCGGAGTTCCATCCATTCGCCTATGAGTTCTTCGGAGGTTCCATCTTGACTATAGAGCGTAGAATAAATGAGTATCGCGTCTGGTATCTCCGCAAATACTCACTAATTCACCGCCGTATCTATAAAGTTACCACCTAACTCATAGAAGGCGTCCAGAAGCTCAAAACATGATTCCCTTGTCATTTTTCCCATTCCTTGACCCCATGCAGTACCAATGGACATTCCACCCAATTGGAAAGGTGAGACACGAATGCTCGCTCGCGGAGAGAGGAGCCTGTACTGGCCAAGAGGACTAGGGGCACTGGGAGGCGGTGGGAGAAAAGGAAGGCGTTCTGTGGAAGACATAGGTTGATAGCACTGTCCCCTAGGGTTAAACGAGCTTATATGTCCTTTGATACTGAATTGACCAACAAGAACATCGTCACAAGCCCGGTGGACCGATGGACTGACAACAGCACGCGGTATCAGGAGAAGATAACGGCAGAGTGCCGGCGACGCGTCAGGAGCGAACAAGGACGTCAATGATTGCTTGACAAAGAAAAAAGACCGAAATGCCAACGCTGATTGCAAGTGTTCACACCATGGCGGGTCGTATCCCTCGGTGACCTTGAGCTTGGGTAGCTACCGGTGCCATCCACTTCAAGTTCTCTTCCAACAACCTAGATTCTGAAACCCTCAGTCACCATTATTTCAATTATCTGAATCTTGACCCTACGTTTTGCTCAAATTCCTCGTCAGGATCAACTCGGCTCCGTGCCAAATGCGGAATCTTTAAGGTGGCAGGAAGGAAGAAACAAAAGGCACGCCTGAAGTGCATGTGCATGGGATCTATCAGACATCATCCTGTCACCTGTGGTTCCCAGCAACCTATCCCATGACGCATACCTTCACAGACCTATCACTGTTTGCTTGTCCTCATTGAAACGAAGAAAGCGCGCTTCTTTGATTACTGACGCAACTGTTAGAGGTGGCGGAGTGCGATGTGACGAATAAAAATCGAAGATTCGTATAAAGTTGCCGTAACTCGCATGATGGTTCCTTTCGGAGCCATACACACGAGTCTTGGTCGGTACACTCGATATAAATGTGGGTCTGGTCACTGGCAGATCTGCATGGACGGAACTGCCATGGATTCGAGCTGTTGAAAAGAACATTGCTGGCATTGATCGTGCCGCCCAGTAAGCCTTGAAGCTTGAATCGTTGTCGCTGACTGGATATCACCTTCACGCTCAGGGTACGTGTCCTTGAGTTTTACACGATCTTTTGCATTCCATTTTCCGGAAAAAAATGGTGGTGGGCGTTGAATGACCGAAGAACTGGCAAAATCAACACAAAATCAATGGAAACGCCTTGCCGTGGGATGTTAGTCGAGGCGGAAGCGGGGGGAGCATAGAAGCAATCTTTTCACTGCACAGATGTCAACTGAAGTGAAAGGCGCTCATTGTTGCTGTTTGCCTGACAGTGAAGACTGGTCGAGCAGCGAATTGCTTCATTCCTTCCGGCCCGCTCATCCGGACTGAACAGAGCCTTCCCACGTGCGCCGGATTCCCGGGCCGTTTCCCGCAATTATGAGTACACCCAAGGAAACCGTCCACCACGTCTTCGTCTCGTGCCCTGTGTATCGCTCCTTCCGCCAACATGCCACACAAACACTGATTACTGAGACATCCCGTATCCTGGACTCTGCAGAAGTACCCTTGCTCATTTGCAGGTCCTTTCTTCAGGTGGTCCGATGTCTCTTTGAAGATGGCCCCGTTTGGCCCCAATCTCTATCTCGCTTCTACCTTGGCCTAACGCCACCCTTGCCCGCACTTACTGGTTTGCCGGGAGCGAAGACAAGTCGTCTGTTGGTACGCATCGCTCACACGTGGCACACGTCATGCATTCGTCTGGCTGGCAGGATTTGGGCGGAATATAAGCGAAGGGTACGTCCGGCTCCATCGAAAAAGAATAATAACGCCGTAGCCGCCTTCCTTCGAAACGTTCCTAACCCTCCCTCTCATCTCCAAGTTACATCGGTCCACCCAGCACAGCCCGATATCCTAGTCCAACATGATCTCTCGGTGTCGACCTCTCACATCGAGTTCCTGCGTCTTTCCATCAATGATCCTTCTGCGCAGTACCACAAGCTCAAGGGTTTGATATCTTCCTTTGATTTCCCTTCACTCCAAAATTTTCGCCTTCCTTTGCCGGCACTACGCCGTGTCCTTTCACAGTGCCTAGTCTCAAAACTCAGGCCTCATTTGGCCTATCAGCCAATTACAGAGACTGACGCTGTTCACTTGGACCATTTGATCACAGCAAAGGTACACGAGTACTTCTCCTTTCCTTTTCATTTTAACTCTACCTTGCTTTCGCTACCTCTGTCACTCCATGGTTTTGATTTCCCCTCTATCTCTCGCTTGAATCGCGTAGCAGCCGTGAACGGCCTGCTTCGTGACCTTAACCATCATATAGGAACATTCTGAGATATGGCTCGTATCACGCTCGCGGACTGGACATGTCAACTGAACCATTGTGTCTTTCCTCTTCACGGCGCGTCTCTCAACACCTCGTTCATGCGGCAACAAAGTGGCCTGCCTTTCCAGTGGCGGCTTGCACATGACACTATGCGCCAAAACGGTTTGTCCATCCGTAACACGGATCTCTCTTTCCTTTTCTATGGCGATGTGTCTCTGCGTCACCTGAATCGCACGTTACACACTCGTCTCAGTCTACCACCACAGTTTATAACCAACTTGGCTAATGCCGGACTGACTCACCTCTTTGACATCGCATCCTTCACCCTAGATCCCGCAAAACATGACGTTGTGCAACTACAACCTCATCCCAATGTCCACTTTCAAAATGCTACCACTCGCGCTCAAGAACAGTGGTTACAAACCTCACAGTGGCTTTCCGATTTAACGCTGATGGATCTGGTCAATGGGTATATGGCTACGGACTCGGACGTGACAGATAATGTTGTAGGGAGACGACGGAGAGCGGTTGGTTGCCAAACTCGCATACAGATCGCTGGCACGGATGACAATCTCCTCCGTGGTGCAGCTGCGAGTCAGTGTCTGGACTTGGAGCCCCTTTGGTTCCTGGGTTTACCTCCAAGGTTGCGTATGCAACAAGCACAAGATCTCATCAATGCCTACTACGCTGTTTCCCCTCACGCGCCCTTTCCCACCTCCATTCCTCCTGGGATTTTCGCATCTGACGCATCTATGCTTCCGGCTGCACCCTCTTTCTGACATCAACGTTCAGTAACCTTCTCGTCAATTTCTCATTCCTCTGCCCTGGCCATGAATCTCGACTGCTTCCGTACTTCAGCGTGGGTTTATCATGGCGAGACGTACGGACTCATAGCATCAACAATACATCAATACAATTTACCATCACCCCCTTCTCACCTACCCTCTTCTCCAACTCTCTATACCGACCACCTCAACTCTTCTCGTATTGTATCTTCCGCTCTCCACCTCCCTCCTCTGCCTCATCAATGGTCATCTCTTCCTGGTCGTTCGCTCTACCGATGGCTCCTTCATCTCTTGCAGCATTCTCCACCACCACATCATCCTCCCAATATCATCTACACTCCAGCTCACACCAACTCCTCCTCGACCCCTTCAACAGTTAATGCGCTTGCAGATCGGCTCGCATCAGGTTCTCAGCATTTACAAATTTGGCCACCTCCCGCACCCTTACCTACTTTCTTTATGGATTCTTTTATGCTTTACTCACCAAACGACGGCTACATTGAAACAAGTATATCATCATATCTGCCATCTGTACTCACTTCCGCTGCTTATTCTAGCCCAGACTTCCGCCCTGCCATGACGATGCTACTGCCGTTCCACGACCAACACACACCTCCCGAACATCCCTATTTGCGGGCCTCCTCGGCATATTCAGCCTTGGTACAGCTCTACGCGAGATCAGATCAGCTGGACACGACGTACGCACGATTCCGACGCTTCGGAAACGTATCCCCCATGTGCATCAGTGGATGCGATGCACTGGAAACCGTCCACCACGTCTTCGTCTCGTGCCCTGTGTATCGCTCCTTCCGTCAACATGCCACACAAACACTGATTACTGAGACATCCCGTATCCTGGACTCTGCAGAAGTACCCTTGCTCATTTGCAGGTCCTTTCTTCAGGTGGTCCGATGTCTCTTTGAAGATGGCCCCGTTTGGCCCCAATCTCTATCTCGCTTCTACCTTGGCCTAACGCCACCCTTGCCCGCACTTACTGGTTTGCCGGGAGCGAAGACAAGTCGTCTGTTGGTACGCATCGCTCACACGTGGCACACGTCATGCATTCGTCTGGCTGGCAGGATTTGGGCGGAATATAAGCGAAGGGTACGTCCGGCTCCATCGAAAAAGAATAATAACGCCGTAGCCATTGATTTACCATCCTTTTTATCTCCTATCTTATCGTCCTGACCGTTTCCCTTCATACGTGTACCTTTACTTACAATGAGCTACCGAGGTAGATTAGTTTGCGCTTATTTACCTGAGCTGTATCAGCAGAGGTGGCCAATAAATCCAGTTTTCCAGTTTTCCAAGGAGCTGACTATTCCGCGGACCTCCCCCAGTTCATTTTCTCTCGTTTCATGTATCCTTGCAACCTCCATTGGCATTTATCACTCTGTAAAGCCATTGCAGCGTGACAGCCATATTTCTTGACCCTTCGTTATCCCGGGTCGACATCATCTGCAGCTGATGTCAGCGAGGCGCAGCTGGTCTGCGACGATCAGGATTACGGTAGTCGGAAAGACTCAGAGGGAATGTGCATATTCGCTGTCATTTCGGACTCATGCACTAGTAGATAATGTTGCTACGACTGTCATTACTTCTCACAACGAGCCATCGAGGTCGGTAGGAGTAGTTTACTTCTATTTACCTGAGCTGTATCAGCGGAGATGGCCAATCAATCCAGTTTTCCAAGAAACACCTTTCCCTTAAATTTTTTGGGCATAATTATATACGAGGTGTTGAACCTGCGATGCAGAACGTAAAAATATAACATACTAGTAATGAACGCGCTAAGGATGTGAGAAATGATGACACATTCGTTATCTTCCGTAACCCGCAGGTCACTACAGCCTTGAGCTTAAGTTGCTTAACTATTGGGGATTGAGTAAAGATTCTTATTCGTTTCTACAGCGTAGATTGTATCTAGGTTGTTCTAGCATGTACCGAGCGCTGTTGCATTGTATAACGATGTGCAAGAATCTGACACATGATGATCAATGGAAGGGCAAAGAGTTTGGGCAGAAACTTACTTACAATGACTGACAATTAATCAGACCAGCTGAAACGGCAAGAGGAGACGAATGAACGTGAAAATAGCGATAGATGATCTGAAAAGGACGTCAATACAGTATCACCCATAGAGACATCTAAACTGACAAGAAGAAATAAAAACGAAAGCAACTAAAGCCAACTATTGACGTTTTACCTAAAGAATGAGAGTGAGCATCGCGATAGTGGAAACAGAGGAGAAAGGCTGACATTCATGAGCTGCTGAAGGTCGATCCGAGATCACCGTACTTGATGTTCGAGAAGATGACATATGAGCTAGCGGCCGAGGATTCGACATCGGTTGGTGCGCCAGAGCTTGTTGAGCAGGATCCACGGGAGACACCAGGGTCGGAGGCGTCAGCATCGGCAGGGTAGTCACTGTCAAGCCACAACATGTTGGCAGTGTGGTCATCCCAAACACTCATCACCAAAGCCATGCCAGACTCAAAGGCGTCACCCATGACCGCCAATCCACCATGGCTAGCGAAGGAGTCGGTGTCACCGAAGGCAGTCTTCTGGGCGGTGCAGAAGTCATCACTGATGGAGTTGTACGAGTCCATGCCGTCGATGTTCGTAGCGGAGTTCTGGATGATTTCACCGTCCTGAACGTAAATACGGCGAATTTCAACGAGATCTCCGGAAGTGGTGTTGTCGGAGGTGATGAATTGAGTGACGACGGTGAACTTGGAGCTGGTATCAACTGTTAGACCGGTGCCGAGGAAGGTCTTGTCCCCCATGCGGTACGAGTTGAAATCGCAGCCATCCTTGTCACAAACTCCGTCGTACCTCTCGTCACCATCACCGCAGTCGGTGCCGGAGCAGCGCTGCTGTCCAGTAATATTGCAAACGTGAGGAGTGTAGGCGGCCGCCTGGGAGTTGGCTTCCCAGACGTCCATCTCATTGCAGCACGAGCCGTAGTAGCCGGTTCCGGAGTTGGAGTCAGTCTCGGAAGGAGTCCAGTCAAGAACGTTGGCCTTTGAGAGAGCGTGAGAACAGAAAAGAACAGAAATAAGAAAACACACCTCTCCGTTGATGAACTTGAGGTCGTGGGGGCACTGGGTGTCACAGTAACCGGTTCCGTACTTAGCACCAGCCTCGTTCGTGGAGTATTCCGACTTTCCACCATCTGCATCCATCTCCACAAAGTACAAGGCTCCGTTGAGGCCGCAAGGGAGAGTCGACATGTCGACGTCAAAGGTGAACTCCTTGTTCTTCAAGTTGAACATCTGGTAGGTGTCCTCATCGTCGAGAAGGTAGACACGGCTTCCGATGTTGGAACCAGTGACGAACTTCAAAGTCAGCGCATCATCGTCGGTGGTGATACCGTAAGTGCCGGAGTAATCTGCACCATCCAGGGCGCAGTTCGACGTGCAAGTGTCGACGTCAGGGCAGAGGGAAGAATCCCACTCGTTGCCGGAGTAGCAATTCGTGTAGCCACTGGTGCTGTGGAGCCAGCGCCAGTTAGCGTCAAGGACAACTGACTTAGACTGTGTGGTACAGCTACCGCCAGACGTGCATTCTTGGACAGTGAGAGTGGGATGGGTTTCTGTGGTGTAGGTGCCAACCTGTTGGCCCCGGACAGAACGAAGGAGAGTGAAAGCGACGAGAGCAGCTACGCTGTACATTTTGGTTGTAGTGAGTTGGATTGGTTCAGATCCTGGAGCAAAAGACGCAGTTTATATACGGGCCTGGGATCGGAGAATATCTGGAGATGTTTCTCACTAAGCGTAGCCTGCAAGGGTGTCGCCGAGCGTACAAGCAATAGAAAAAAGGGCAAAGCAAACGCCAATATCCAGTAGCAACCGGATACTTCTCGGTCGTGTGACCAAGGTCGTTATTTTGATCATGAACTCGAACTCGAACACGTTCGACTCCGAGGAGACACCGATGGGTAAAACTCCGCGAACCTGAGAAGGGGGCCCGAAAAATGTCGTTCAAATTTCTGAACAAGAACCGCCATCGTGATCGCGCTGCGGGGGAAGTGACAGAAACGTGGAAAAGACGGAAAAGAACTGACGCGTCAAAATGTACCTCCGGGCCGCCATACCGGGCTTAAGGGTCCTGTCCTTGGCTCAAACCCATAGCTCATCATTACTTTAGGTACGTATTCGCCAATTTCTTTCGGAAAAACCTGGGGCATTTTGGTATCCACCTTACATACCCGCCAAGCTGCCAATACGTAAATTCTCCAGCCGACTCAAAAACATGGATAATCGTTTCCTAAAGACCTGGTAGAATAAAACTATTGGGGAGCCCCGCTCCGGGGGCTCCCTGAGGGGTTCTTCAGGAGCCCCAGGGTTTTCGAAGTTTTCACTCTCGGCCGAGCGGCCATGCCCGTACCATATTTGAGTTTGCGTCCCCGGCGTCTTTCCTCAAGTCCTCGCCGGTTGTGAACACAGTTCCGTCGTTGTCAGCTATGGACTGGTAGAAGCATTCATACAGATGAGGTGGACCTCAGGCTGGTGATTTCCTGGTGACTAATTTGTGGGACCTTGTACTTATTAGCCAGTACTTACCAAGCATTAACCAGTAAGTAGTAAATATTGTCCTGGAGTAATATCAAACTGCGACGATTCTGCCCATTTTCTTATACTTATCTCACCTTACTTATTGTTACCTCGCTGTGCAAAGAATTAACCGAAGCTCCCCCTGGCCCCCACAAAATGATATATATATCAGATAACCTCTTTTCTTCGTGTATATAAAGGTATAAACGAATATTAAATGCATTTTTCAGTTCCGCAACCCAAACTCGTGAGTGCGTGAGCACCCATGAGCCACTCACATCATTACTCGCCAAGTCCGGCTGGTGCTCCCTGCTGGCGCCGCTAGGGCAGGGCTCCTCATTAAGTAACACTGGGAGCCCCCAGGAGCGGGGCTCTCGAATAGTTATTACCGACCTGGTATGTTGATATGCGACGTAGATGCGATTCCGTGCACACCCAAAGCCCGGTCAGTTGACGCAAGTCAAGAACTGACACAAGAAACCTTGTATTTCTCCAATAATTATCGTACTTTAAATAATAGATCATATTTCGTCCATAGCAGCCTTTACTCCGTCCGCGAAACTACCAATTACTTCCCGAAGCTCTTCCTCATTCAGGATAGCTTCATGACAGCGAGCAGCAACTCCAATCGTGTTCGTTTCCGCATTCAAAGCGACATCAATGTACAACCCATGCTAGCAACGTCAATCAGAACTAATTCATGGTAGCACAAGGTCTGCGCGCATACCTTGGGAAGATATGAAAGATCCAATGCGTCGACCGACGACCGAAGCTCGAAAGGCTCTTGAGCAGCATAGTCAGTAGGCACCCCAACCTTGGCAGGAACGATCAGCGAATTGTCCATGACACAAAAATTAAAACACGCGTACAGGGAAAATCCGCAGAAGCGAATCCTGAGAGATCGTCCGGATCTTGTTGCCATGCCAAAGGAGATTGATGAAGATATTAAAAAGCGGACCGTCGTGTTGGACCCACTTGAGAATCTCCGGTAAGGCGCTTTGTTCGAATGCAGTACGCCTTCCGAGATCTATTTGAACTTGGCGCGCTACATCGCCGACTTGACCGAGACCAGCTGCTGGGATACACATAGGCAGAATATTGACACAAGGGCCCGCAAGCCTTTCGAGGTCGTCGAATGAGGCTGCGCGACTGGTGTGGTACACGCCCAACACAGGAGAGTCTTGTCCTGTTAAGCTCTTGCCTACGCGACCCCAGACTGCCAACACCAAGGCTTGAAGACCAAGACCAGCCGCTTGACAGCGCGACTGCAACAAGTCTGTCGAACTAATGATAGCAGGAGCCCGCACAAACACCTGCTTCAGATCTGAGCAAGGGTGCTTGGGCTTCAGAACTGAAGAGCCATTAATCTTCAACGAGTCTCGCCAAAATTCGGCTTCGGTGGCCTTATCTGACATAGTATAGACGTGTTTGACAAACCCGGTAAAGTCTGGAGCACTTTGACAGTCGAAGCCTTGGTACAATGCACACAAATCTGCAACTAGAAGAGGGACAGACCAGGCATCTAGTAGAAATAATGTATCAACAGGGGCTATCACTCTTGAAGGTAATCGTTTCTTACCGTACGTAGCATGGTGGAGCACGAGTAACACCGCGTCTTGGTTTCCCACCCGT